CTAAAGACGGCCCCGAGAGAGCTTCGGCTGGCCTGCAGACGGTTCAAGAGACCCTCGAGACGGCCCCAGAGACCCTCCAGAGGGCTCCCGAGAGGGCCTCAGGAGCCCCAACACATTGATTTCCCCATGGTTTTTGGATGGTGTTTCTTGCTCTCTCCCTTTTCGGGCCCCGACGGGCCCAACACGGCCCCAAGACGGCCCCCAGAGCCCCAGAGGCATTCCAAAGGGCCCGAAGACGGCCCCAAGACGGCCCCAATACGGTCCAAGACGGTCCAAGAGGCCCCCTGACGGTTCCAGAGGGTCGGCCCAAGGGCCCTAAGACGGCCCAAGAGGGCCCCTGACTGGCCCAAGAGGGCACCAATGGGGGCCCCAAGAGAGCTTCAGATGGCCTCCGGACGGTGATGTCTCAATGGTTTTTGCAGGTTTTTGGGGTTCTTGCTTTTTCGAGCCAGAAGCGGTCCAAAACGGCCCACGAGGCTCCAAAGATCGCCCCAAGGCGACCCAAGAGACCCCCGAAAGGGCGCGAAACCTGCCCAAGAGAGCCCCAAGACGGTCCCAGAAGGGGGCCAAAACAAGTCAGAAGGGCCCCAAGACGGTCCGTAGAGAGCCCAAGACGGCCCCTAGAGAGCCCCGAGACGGCCACAAGAGGTTCCCCAAAGGGCCCCCAATGGCCCCCAAGAGAGACCCAAGACGGCCAAAGGCTTCCAAAACGCCCCTCGACGGCCCAGAGGGCCCCAAGACGGCCCAGAATTATCCCAAAAGGGTTGCTGAAGGGCTCCACAAGGGCCCTTAAAAGACCCCGACGAGACCCAAGAGACGCTCAAGAACACCATGGCTCCCATCAGCGAGCGGTGACGTAACAAGCTTCTGGACACTAAGGCTCCCCAGAGCGCGGCGACGTACAAAGCTCGTCACACCAAGGCTCCCAAGAGCGAACGGCAACGGAACAGTCTCTGAACACCAGGGTTCCCAACGGAGAGCGGCGACGCAATAAGCTCTTCGCACCAAGTCTCCCAAGAGCGAAGGGTGCCATGAGTCCTCTCGGGCCAGTTCCTGAGGCGCTCTTTCCGTTTCCGTGCCGGCCCATGTGACGGAAGGAGTGAGGTACGAGTGTTGACGTTCTGGTGGGGCGAGGCCCCTTAAGGGAGGGGGTCCCAGGGGAGGGGCGAGGGGGGCGCACCGCCGGCTTTCCTCGTTCGGGTGAAGCGGCTCCCGGATGGTTCCCATGGTCCGTATATATATATATATATATATATATATATATATGTATATTGTAAACCGGCCACAGAGCCCCAAGACGGCCCAAAAAAACTTCAAAACAGCTTCAGAGGGCCCCAGGACAGCCCCAAGAGAGCTTCAGATGGCCTGCGGACGGGCCAAGATAGTCTCGAGACGGCTCCAGAGGCCCTCAGGAGGACCCCCGAGAGGGCCCCAGGAAGCTAAAAACATGGTTGTCCGAGGGTTTTTGTTATTGTTTGTCCCAGAAAGGGCTGCGGCCCAGGGTTCTCTTTTAGTTTGTTGACCCTCCAGTGTTGATTTGGGGAGGCTGGCGGATGACGGGAGGCGCGCATACAAGGCCCTGGCTCGAGCGATTCTGGCGATTTTCTTCGTGTCAGCGGGGTCGCAAGCCCCGGCGCAGCATGTTTGCAGATCGATGGCGGGACATGTTTCGTTTCTCTTCTTTCTGTGCGCCATCGCACGCCGCATTGAATTGCGCTGGCGGGCCGAGCGTTCGGTGGCGGCACGACCACCGTGGAGCCCCATGCCGTCCAACGACGACTACGGCGGGGACGAGCCAGTGCAAAGCCTGGGCACATCCTACAGTACTTCCCGCGCCGCGCTCGCCAGAAGGCGGGCGGGGTATCGGGGTGACCGCCTAACACGTTGGGGTACAGTGGCGTACCGCTGCAGTTGGAGCTCACACGACTTCCCTGTCCTCATGCCTCACCATTGCAGTTGTTGAGTCAGGAACAGCATGGGCTCTACAGTTCTGTGATTTTCAGACGTGGTGGTACATCCTTGCTTCTACATGTTTGTCTCAGCTGGGCCCCGTGGCTGGTCATTCGTCGCCGTCATGCACGTGTCGCAACAGGGAGTATCAGAGCAAGTGTCTGGTGACTTCGAGTTTGGCTCGGCCGGACTACAATACGCGCCCTGTTACACTTTCCGTGTGCTCAGTTGTCTCTTGTTCTTTTGTATTCGCATTGCGGTGCATAGCGTTGCCGCCTTGGCTCAGCTGGGAAGGGCGGTCTGCAATTCCATGCGCGTCACTTTCGCCTGCCATCTGCGCTCTCCCTTTCTGCTTGTTTTCCACCGCGGTTGCAGCGGCATGCCGCCTGTCGCGTGGCCAGACGGCTATGGCCAGTCGCGTGTGCCCGTCTCCCGAGGGTGGTAGCCACGCATGACGCATCTTAGATGCACGTGTGCGCGGGCCTCCCCAGAAAAAAGGCGCGCGTAGGCTCGAAGAGTCGCGGAATGGACGCCAGTTCCGGCCCGGTGGCAAATATTTTCAATGGGGGGGTCTGCGGTGGGAGGTGCTTGGGGTTGCCCCGCGATCAAGGCTTGGCGGATTCAGACGGGAAGCGCGCGTGGACTCGAAGAGTCGCGCGATGGACGCTGGTTCCGGCCCGGAGGGGAATATTTTCAATTCGGGGGAGTCTGAGGGGGGAAGGGCTCGGGATTGCTCCGCGATCAAGGCCTGGCGGATGACGGGGGGCGCGCGTGGGCCCGAAGAGTCGCGCGATGGGCGCCGGTTCCGGCCCGGAGGGAAATATTTGCAACTGGGGGGGGTCTGAGGGGGGGAGGGCTCGGGATTGCTGCGCGATCAAGGCCTGGCGGATGACGGGGGGCGCGCTCGGACTCGAAGAGTCGCGAGATGGACGTTTTGTTGTCCGGAGTGAGTTTATCAACTGGGGGGCGGGTCTGGGGGGGGGGGGCGCGCGTTATGCGCTCGTGGTCGGGGGCCTGGCGGATGACGGGGGGCGCGCGAAGACTCGAAGGGTCGCGCGATGGGCGCTGCTGCGGGCCCGGAGGGGAATATTTTCAATCGGGGGGGGGTCTAAGGGGGGAAGGGCTCGGGATTGCTCCTCCGCAAAGGCCTGGCGGATGGCGGGGGCGCGCGTAGAAGGCTTTGGCTCCGGCGATTGTGGCGTCTTTGTGGTGTCAGCGGGGTCGCGGGCCCCCGCGCGGCGCGATTCTCAGTCGATGGCGAGACATGTTTCGTTTCTCTTTCTTCTCCGCGCCATCGCTAGCCGAAGTTGCTTGCGCTGGGGGGCCGAGCGTTCGGCGACGGCGCGATCGCCGCGGAGCTCCATGCCATCTGATGGTGTCGAGGATCGGAGCGAGCCAGTGCGCAACACGAGGAGCTATCACCGCGCCTGCCGAACATGCTCGCCAGAGGGCGGGCGCGGTTCAAGGGGGCCCTGTGCGACGTCCAGGACGCAGTGGCGAAGCTATGCCGACTGGCGGCGCACGACGGCGCGGTGTTCCCACCTTCATTTTTCCCGCCGACACATTGCACCCCGAGCCGCGGCTACGTCAGGATGTGGTCGTGCAGCGCCGAGACAATTATCATGCCTGTCCGCTTGGGCGAAGTTATTCGACGCGCGGCGGCTGCCCGCGTCGACGTTCTTGGCCTGCAGGGCGCCATGCTCTCCGTCGACCACCAGTGGGGGGGCCCGACTACATCGTCGCGCCTTCCCCGCGCGCGGCTCGCCACGTGGAGGGCGGGGTTGTCATTGCTATATCCAAGCGAATTGCTTCACAGGGGGGGATTCCTGTTGCGCGCAGGTGGCATTTGGGGAGGCTCGTGGGCATTCGGGTCCAACGCGAGCCCCCATATCGACTTACACGCCCTCTGTGGATGCGCGCCAGCAGACAAACCCCAAACCCGACCCATGACAGCAGCAGCCCACGCGGCGTGCCGACGCGACAACGGCGAGGTTTTTGACAATATGAATCGAGCGCTGGGCTGCATCCCCGCTCGCTGTGCTATGCCATTGGCCCTGGAGGGCAACGGTGGCATGGCGCCGTCGCGACCTGAAGTAGGTCATGCCAGTTCATGGCGACGGCATCGACCGCAGTGGACCGACACCGGGCGACGCTTCCATGGTAATCTCCCCCAGTGCAGTATGCGTGCCCTTTACACCTTCGGCCCAGCACCAGGGCGCAGTTCCACGTGGAGGAACCCTGGCGGTCAGGGTGAGGCGCGGATCGACTACATCGCCACGTCGCGCAGTACGGGCTCCCAGGATTTCGCGCGATTCATTCGTGGGACCCCGCTGGCCCTGGACCCCTTCAGAGATCATATGGTAGTCGAGGCCTCTGTCCGAATGGGTCGACATTATACTAAGCGACCTCCCCGGGCACCGACGCCAACGCGGCGCCGTCAACATATCCTGAATTCTCTCCAGGCATGGCAGCGCTGGTCTACTGCCGAGGCGGAGGGCCCAGGCAGTGAAAGCCCACTAATCACCGCTATCAGCGACGCGCTGCGCTTCCAGGGCCGCGCGAGCCAAGCCGTTGCCTCCGTGGACCGGGCCCGTGCGCAGACCTCCCCTACCAACTATTTCGACTTCTTGGAGCTGCCGGTAGCCTCGGCCGCGAGCGGGATTGCAGGGCGCGAAGGCAATGTATGTTCCGATGGCGCGGACGCAACCTGGCGGGCGCACGCCGCGGCCGCCGTTACCGTTACCCGCCAGGCCCCCCCCCGGTAACAGCCGTTACCCAACAGAAGAATCTGAAACGTATTTTGTTGCACGACTTGGCGAAAGTTTGTTCGCCTTCTCTTCCCTTGACATGTTCCGTGCATGTTGCAGATCCGCCTACCTTCAGCGCTCTTCACGTTAGAAGCGTCTGGTTTGCACCGAGTCCGCGTTACATGAACGCTCGCACATGAATGTGGCCAGATGTCGCCGAGGGAAAGCAATCCCGATGGCCGCGCAACTTGGAGTAACGGTCGCTAGAATCTAAGCGCGCGTGAAGCGCATGCGTGGTTCTAGTGTACGCATGTTTTGGGTCTGGTCAAATTTTCATTCACGATTTGTTGTTTATCCCACGACAGTTGGGGTATTTTTGGTATGCGTACACGTGTGGACATGTAGGGATGGGACCACGTGGGTTTCACAGCGTTGGTTCCTGTTCCCCTCGAGCCGACCGACGGCGCCGCAGTGTGCAGCGGGTTCGGGGTCATTTCAGCGTGGCGCCCCGTGAGCTGGCGGAGTGCCTACGGTGGAACGAGTTGTTGGTGTTTTTTTTTTTTTCGCAGAGCAGGAAGGTTGTGGGAGGAGGAGGAGGAGGAGGAGAAGGAGGAGGAGGAGGAGAAGGAGGAGGAGGAGGAGGAGGACGAGGAGGAGGAAGAGGATGAGGAGGCGGAGGAGGAGGAGGAGGAGGAGGAGGAGGAGGAGGAGGAAAAAGAGGAGGAGGAGGAGGAGGAGGAGGAGGAGGAGGAGGAGGAGGAGGAGGAGCAGGAGGAGGAGGAGGCGGAGGAGGAGGAGGAGGAGGAGGAGGACGAGGATGAGGAAGAAGAAACATAGGAAGAAGACGAACAAACTTAATACTAATAAGACGAGTAATAATAATACGAAGAAGAAGAATTTGAATAATAAGAATAATAATAATAAGAAGAAGAAGTCACATAATAATACTACGAATAATAAGAAGTAAGCAATAATATTACTACGATGAAGAAGCAGACAATAATAATACTACTAAGAACAATGCGACGAATCATACTAGGGCTAATAATGATGATAATGAGAAGAAAACTAGCACGAATAATAATAGTAATAATCTTAATAACGAGACGAATAAAAATATTAAGAAACATATCAATATTATTAGTAAGACGAATAATCATAATAATAATCATAAGACGAATAATAACAATACTACGAATACTAAGAAGAATAGCTGTATTAAGAATAATCATACGAATACTGGTAATAATAATATTACGAAGAAAAATAATAATACCAATGATAATAATACGAATAAGAATACTACGCAAAAGGAACACAATACTACTCATAATAAGAAGATTAATAATACGAATACTAATAAGAAGAAGGCTACGAACAATAATAACAATAAGAATAATACTAAGATCAATAATAAGAAGAATAATAGGAAGACGAATCAGAAGAATAATAATAACAATGCTACTACTATTACTACTAATAATAATTCTAGTAATAATAATCATACTGATACTACTAATAACAATACTAGTACTAATTCTAATAATAGTAGTAATACTAATAATACTAATATTAATAATAATAGTAATACTATCACTAATACTTCTAATACTAATAATGTTAGTAATACTAATAAGAAGTAATAGTACTAATAATAATATAGTAATAATACTAATACTAATACTAATGATAATAATAAACATAATAAATATAATAATAATAATAGTATTAATAATAGTAGTACTAATAATGACACTAATCATAATGATGATGCTTATAATGATAATACTAATAATAATACTAATAATAATAATAATACTAATAATGATGATAATAATAATAATAATAGTAGGAAGAAGAGGAGGAGGAGGAGGAGGAGGAGGAGGAGGAGGAGGAGGAGGAGGAGGAGGGGGAGGGGGAGGGGGAGGAGGAGGAGGAGGAGGAGGAGGAGGAGGAGGAGGAGGAGGAGGAAGAGGCTGGTCGCCAGCGGACCTCCCGCTGTTGTGTGGGAGCGGCGACGGGACGCATGGCAGAGCACTTCGAAGCGATTGCTCCCGCTGGCGCCACCTGGGCCCGCCTTTTTCGATCCAAAGGCTTGGTCGATTGCACTGCTACCTGCACTTGCTCGAGCGGATTTTGAAACCAACGAAAAGGATCGAGGATCTAAGATCGAGGATCGAGAACCGAGGAGGAGGATCGAAGACGAAGAGGAAGATTGCGAGGACCGAGGTGAAGGAGGAGGATCGAGGAGGAGGAGGAAGAGGAGGAGGAGGAGGGTACAGGATCTAGGATCGAGAACCGAAAAGGAGGAGGAAGAGGAATATCGAGGAATATGATCGGTGATCGAGGAGGACGAGGAGAAGGAGGATGAGGAGGAGGGAGGAGGACCCTGGAGGAGGATCGAGGGTCGAGTAGGATAGAGGAGGGCGAGGAGGAAGATGTTCGAGGAGGGTGAGGAGGTTCGAGAAAGAGGGTTGAGGATCGATGAGAAAGAGAGGGGAAATAGCAGGATGTTCTCCATAGTTCCGACTCCCTCTCACTTTCTCGCCCCTCCGCGCGAACCGGCGCTTGTTGTCTTCTTCACACGTCCCTCCCACTCCCGCTCCCTGTTGCAGCGTCCGCCACACTTATTTCGAATTATCCTTACTCCAGTCCGCCCCCACAGCCCTTTCCCAATGCTCCCACCTCTTCCCGAGTGCGCTCCACTCTACTCCATTCCGTTCCGCTCCACTCCGCTAGACCTCCCCGCTCCTAGGCATCAGACCACACCTTCCTCCCCATTCATCGCTCTTCTCAGTACTTCGGCCCACAATTATTATTATTCTTATTCTTATTATTATTATGATTTTATTCCCCATTTCCTAAGTGGGGTTCTTGTTTTCTTTGAACGCCACGCGCAGGAACCCACCCACATCCTCATCCTCATCATCATCATCACCATTATCAGCATCATCATCATCATCCTCATCATCATCATCAGCAGCAGCGCGTTCATCATCATCACCCACTCTCTTCGTCACTCACACACACACTCGCACCTTCACACTCATAATCATCATCATCAGCATCTTCATCGTCACTCAGTCCTCACTCACTCACTCACTCATCTATTCATAATCATCACCATCAGTATCAACATCACTCCCACATTCATTCACACTCACACACACGAACACACTCACGCATTCACACAGTTACACACTCATACATTCATCTTGATGAAGTCTAGGGCGGGAGCCTCGTCTGTCAGTGAATTGTGAGGAAGTCTCAGGCGGGCTCCCCTCCCTATGGGGCTCTCGCTCCATGTTGGTAGTCGGAGCGGGTCATCAAGATCCTCAAGATCCTGTAACTGTCGTCACTTGTGGGCCCCTCACGCCTGAATTTTGAAGAACCCTCAGGCGGGAGCCTCGTTTGTGAGTGACTTGATGCGGGAGCCCCTTCCCTATGGAGCCCGCATTTCATGTTGGTAATCGGAGCGGGACATCCATACCCTGTAACTGTCGTCATTTTGTGGCCTCTCACGCCTGAATTTTGAAGAAGCCTCAGGCGGGAGCCCCGTGTGTGAGTGAATTGCAGGAAGCCTCAGGCGGGAGTCCCCTTCCTTTGGAGCCCGCACTTCATGTTGGTAATCCGAGCTGTCCCCCAAATCTTGTAACTTTTTAAGCCTTTTGGCCCCTCACGCCTCAATTTTAGAGAAGCCTCAGGCGGAAGCCTCATCTGCGAGTGAACTGCTAGCAAGTCTCAGGCGGGAGCGCCATCCCTATGGGGCCCGCGTTGCCGATTGGTAGTCCGTTCAGGTCAAACGACACCTCGGCCTGTCGCCAATTTTGCGTGCCCAGCCAGGCTTGAACCTCGAGGAAGTGTCAGGCGGGAGCCTCGTCTGTGAGTGAGTCGCGAGGAAGTCTCGAGCGGGAGGCCCCTCGCTATGGGGCCCGCAGCTCCATGTTCGAGTCCGAGCGGGTTTCCCTACATGGGCGCCCCGCGCAGGAACAGGAACAGGAGCCCAACCACACCCACACCACCATCATCACAATCATCATCATAATCCGCCTCCTCCTCATCAGCATCAGCATCAGCATCATCACCATCTTCATCATCATCATCATCATCATCGTCATCATCACCATCATCATCGACATCATCCCCTCTTCGTCACCCACACACTCACATGCACACTCCCTATTCCCATCACCATCATCATTCTCATCACCATCATCAACATCATCATCATCAGCATCATCACCATCACCATCACCGTTCTCATTATCATCACCAGCAGCATCTTCATCATCACTCAGTCCCTCACTCACTCACTCTCTCACCCATTTCATCATCATTACCATCATCATTGGCACCCTCACAATGATTTACACTCACACACGCACGCAGTCACACACTCACACGGCGACACGCTCATACATTTATCGTGATGAAAACTAGGGCGGGAGCCTCGTCTGTGAGTGAATCGCGAGGAAGTCGCAGGCGGGCCCCCCTTCCCTATGGGTCCCGCATTTCATGTTGGTAACCGGAGCGGGTCATCCAGATGCTGTAACCGTCATCATTTTCGGGCCCCTGGCGCTTGAATTTTGAAGCAGCCTCAGGCGGGAGTTTCGTTTGTGAGTGAATCGCGAGGAGGTCTCAGGCGGGAGTGCCCTCCCGATGGGGCCCGCACTCCATGTAGGTATTCGGAGCGGGTCATCCAAATCGTGTAGCTGTCGTCATTTTCGGGCCCTGGCGACTGAATTTTGGAGAAGCCTCAGGCGGGAGCTTCGTCTGTGAGTGAATCGCGTCGAAGTCTCAGGCGGGAACCTCCTCCCTATGGAGCCCGCATTTCATGTGGGTAATCGGAACGGGTCATCCAAATCATGCAGCCGTCGTCTTTGTGGGGCCCCTCACGCCTGAATTTTGAAGAAGCCTCAGGCGGGAACCGAGCTTCTGAGTGAATTGCGAGGAAGTCTCAGGCGGGAACGCCTTCCCTATGGAGCCCGCATTTCATGTTGTTAATCGGAGCGGGTCATCCAAATCATATTGCCGTCGTCACTTTGGGGCGCATCACGCCTGAATTTTGAAGAAGCCTCAGGCGGGAGCTTCGTTTGTGAGCGAATTGCGTGGAAGTCTCAGGCGGGCGCCCCCTCTCCATGGGGCCCGCGTTGCCGATTGGTAGTCCGTTCAGGTCATGCGAAAGCTCGGCCTGTCGCAAATTTGCGTGCAAAGCCAGGCTTGAAGCTTGAGGAACTGTCAGGCGGGAGCCTCGTCTGTGAGTGAGTCGCGAGGAAGTCTCGAGCGACAGCTTCCTCGCTATGGGGCCCGCAGCTCCATGTTAGAGTCCGAGCAAGTCTTCGGAGATCTCGTAGCTGTTGTCACTGATGGGCTCCTCAGGAACGAAGGGTGAGGGGAGCCCTCGCGAGTCAATCCGAGCGGGGTCATTTTTGTGCTCTTAAGAGTGTCACTCGCTCTGCTTAACCCAGTCCCCGACGCGGCGATGGCGTTACTATCGAATGCGCTAGGGATGAGGACGCTGGTAGCACGGGCATGTCGGACGAGCAGTGGTGGCTGCACTTCTGTGCCATGTTGTCTCGCGCCGCTTCAT